GCAGGAGAAAGACTCATTTACTAGATGCAAAAGGGAGGATAAGGCCTTGATCTACACTCCCCACGCCGTGCTGGTCAGATGATATTAATTATATTAATGTATTTATAGCTATCTTTCTAGTCGCTATTATACAGCCATTTTTATTTATTAATTTATTACTAGGTACAGTTACAGTACAAGAATAACAATTATTCGTAGGAAAATACAGCTGCAAATCGTCATTCATCATCATCAATCATTTTAGCTAATTTAGTCCACTGCTAGACTTAGCTGTAGTGGTTTCATAGAGCGCTACAAAAACCATCTCCATTTTTTCCGTTCGGCTATTTTCTTTTAAATAAAAACCTAATATTAGTTAATGATTTATCATTATTGATTTAAGATGTATATTAGCTGCTATAAATTAACGTAATTAGCAATCAAAACCCAAAAGGAAAGTGCCCCAGTCCTGTCCGTACACAATCACGACCCATGCGCGGGCGCAGAAAGCGTGTCGGCGCTTCCGTCCCCCCCACGCCTCGTTATGTGGTGGTCATGTTATAAAATTGAGATTCTGAGGAAAAATTGTGACCTCAATTGTTTTATCCCAACTAATATTATAAATGCGAAAGTAACTCTGTCTGTCTGTCTGTCTGTCTGTCTGTCTGTCTGTCTGTCTGTCTGTCTGTTACGCTTTCCCGCTTAAACCTCGCAACCGATTTTGATGAAATTTGGCATAGAGATAGTTTGAGTCCCGGGAAAGAACATAGGATAGTTTTTATCCCGGTTTTTGAAACAGGGACGCGCGCGATAAAGTTTTTCTGTGACAGACAAAATTCCACGCGGGCGAAGCCGCGGGCGGAAAGCTAGTTATATTATAAAACCAGCCTAAACAAGGTATGAAATAATGAAGATTGTTATTAACAATAGAGAAAAATTGGCCTTTACATAGATCAAACACTAGGGATTCACTTGAATGCATTATGCTGATATTAACGAGGGATAAAAAGATGACTAGAGGAAAGTTTCTACTTGAATAAAAAAGAGAACATGAATTTTTTGTCCCATTATTTTGGATATAAAATCTAATGGATTATGGAAAAATAAAAAACTTGTCTACACACTTGTTTTATTTATTTTTCTTTGTAAATAAAGACCAAACTTGGTCAAAAATTAGCTCAACACTACTTGTGCATAGCGCTGTAGTTTTTACGAGAGAAAACTACATTAGCAAATACTGAACGGCCCCACTTCTGATACCATACATAAGCTGAATATCTAAGTAATTTCTTAATACATTCACAGACATTAATCCCAAACCAATTGATAACAAATGCCCATAATAATTCCAAAATAAAATATTGATTAAAACATGCCCCAGGGCATACTCAGGCCCTACAAATTCGAAACCTACAAAACAGGCAGTACCGTCCGCACAAAAGTCAAAACAAAACGCGAGGATGGTTGGCAAATAAATTGAAAAGCAAAAACGACTGGCCTCATTCAGTATGGCGGACAGTCCCGAGGGAATAGGGACGGGACAAGCTATCCCGGGATCGCGGGATTGAAGACTGGACTTTAGGGTAACAATGCTAATTTAACTGTCAACATCAGTGATGTGTGATTAATGAATAAAAATAATGATTATTTAGTAGAGTCACGTCGTAGGTAATAGTGACACTATTAAAATAATAGTAATAATTGGTAAGAAAAACAAGTGTAATAACTTTACCAGTAATTATACATTAATTATGTTCTCACATAATATTAGTTTTTCATTCGGAATCAATATGTCATAACATGCTAATAACATGTCGGATGGTTATAATGGTTTTTTTTTTTAAATATCAACCAATATTTATTTGTAACTAGCTGACCCGGCGAACTTTGTTCCGCCTTAATGGCAATAAATAAGCAGACTTTTTTTATTTCGAACGGGATAAAAAGTATCCTATGTGTTTCTCCTGGCTCTAAACTACCTCCCTGACAATTCTCAGCTAAATCGGTTCAGCCGTCCTTGAGTTATAAGTGGAGTAACTAACACGACTTTCTTTTATATATATAGATGATGAATGACGTTCACGGAGTCTTCGTTGACCAAAGATAGCGTTCGAATGTGGGATGAGTGTGGGAATTAACAACAAACATTACTATGAGGTCTCAGTGCGCGTGGACGCACATGGTGCCACACGAACAAATCACAGAGCTCTATTCAACGTTTTGCGTTCGATTTGCTGCTTCACTTAAGCAAGCATCGTTTGTGAATACGGGCGTAAGTCTTATCCCGGAGTTGATGACCACTGCCCATCTCTAGAGAGGTCAATTTTCAATTTAAAGTAGACAATGGCGGCCGCCAGCTCTCTATTCATATGATTGCGACTGTGTTCGTATTATATCAGCCTGATAATATGTTTTTGGAATAATTAACACGAGTTTATCAGAGTTGTCATACTTTTGATTCTTTGTGGAGAAAACCCTTGAGGGAATAAGGTTTGGAGTCCGAAATTAGGTTTTGCTTTGAAATTTGGGTTAACAGTGCTTTTTAGTTGGTCAGAAATAGACGTGTATTGAGTTTACAAGTGCATGGCAGATCCATTTTTTTAAAGCAGCACAAAACAGGTATTTGACTGCAATCACGCCTGATGTAAGTGATGTCTAGGATGGTACATACCTGCCCTGTAAATGCCAATTCATTTTGTTCATCTGCTACATAAGTATGATTTGTTATGAAAAGTCATTGTAAGTATGACGTAAGTAGAAGATGAGCATGTTCAAGTTAAAAATACCAATTCAGGAACCGGGGGATAGCTTATTTATTAAAATCCAAGCGGGCAAAGCTGTAAGCCCACAAGGTGGACCGACGACCTCATACGCTGGATGCAGGCCGCTACCAATCGGGCAATGAAGTAATCATTGGGGGAGGCCTATGTTCAGCAGTGGACGTCTTGTGAGTGAAATGATTTTATACAAAAGTAAAGAAGAATAATAAGTAAATAAATTATTCCTATTTTAAAAGAAAAATAAGTAATTAAAGTATTTCCTTGAATTACCAAAGAATTATTTGCCCCAATTCCAGTTAAATCCGTTTTAACCTAAGTTACCAGGCTAAGTTAGTAGCTTTAGTTAACCGTTGGTTAACCGCAAACGAGAAGCTCTTAACTTGCTAGCTTACTTAATGAGTGGTTAAGATGTTTAACCGGAGATCTGTTTACAATGTAAAGGTATAAGTTATGAGGTTATTGATAAATAGACGCTTCAGGTTAAGTTTACCTTATATTTGGAAAAGCCTATTTATGGAAAAATTATGATAATAGGTCGAAGTAATGACATTTTCATTAAGATGACTTTTCCCAGTACCTAATGTACGTAAGATGACTAACCTACCTAATGTGAATGAGGAAAAGCAATAAAAGATTGACTATTGAGAATTGAAAACAGTTTGAGAGATTGCTAAGTATAATAATGCACTATCCTAGATCGCATCTCACGTAACAAACATGTACGTTTGCGGTCAAATACCTGCTTAAAAAAAATGAAAAAGTTAATGAAAGCTATGTAAGTTTCTGCACCGCTTTATTTCAGAAATAATACAACTTTGGCCAAAAAAACTGTGTAAAAACGGTAAACTGCAAAGAAAGCTCAAGCAAAACTATAAGTATAGTCAAAAGCTCTTCTTGCTATGTAGTCTTTTAATGGCCGTATTCACAAACGATGCTTGCTTAAGTGAAGCAGCAAATCCAACACACAGCGTTGAATAGAGCTATGTGATTGGTTCGTGTGTCACCGTGTGCGTCCACGCGCACTGTGAAACCTCATAGGTAGTTTGTGAATACGGGCGTTAGGCTCATAACTCATTATAATATCCTCATTTTATCTTGAAGGATGTACAAATCATTCTAGGTCATTTACAAAAACAATACACCACCGGTAAAGCACTAAAACAAAGCCAAAAGTCGCTTTATTTGTAATCATCATCAAAAACAGCACAATACCAGCCTCATCACTCTAAATACATAATACAGTAAACCTAACGATCGTAATTATTAGAATAAAAAGAGCCGCACGCGCTGCGAACAAAAGAAAATGACATAAGTGTTTGTCTAGGCAGGGGTAGGCAACCGTGGCATACTTATTTAAGATTTTAAAATTTACTCATCCGGTGAAGATTTTATTTCTGCGGACCAAAAGAGTAATGATGTAACATGTGTCGTTTTCACACTAACATACACTACGTCTTTTGTAAAGTACAAGGAGTGAAATCCCTGCTTGTGTTCCCTATCACTTCTTTCATCACCCTTAGGCCTTTAAGACTCTAAACAGACATCTTCTGGGTAAACTTGCTCCATCATAAATCGCATCACCCATCAAGCAAGATTTTTACCAAGAGCCAAAAAACAATCTATAAATATGTATATTCAGAACAGTTAAGTTTTGGTACTAGTTAGCTAGGACCAGTAATTTCGTTTAAAGGTCAATAACAGCCTCGTGATTTTGATCTTCGCACAATAATTGAAAGCTTTGCTTAGTTTAGGATTAGATGGCACTATGTAAAATGTCAAGTAATGTTTTTAATTATTACAAAAATGTCATCAAATCAGTTCCACCATCTCCGTGTGCTTTACGATGAACGATTATAATCCGGAAGCAAGTTACAAGAGTACCAATTATAATTATATTTGTGACCGCAAAATGTTGCCGACCCCTGCTAACGGACGCGCACGCGCCGGCGCGCACCACGCACACATGCAACGTTCGCTATTGTGATCATTGCATGAGACGGGCGACTTTGTATCTGGTTTTTAGCTGTCTATGGAGACAAGGTAATGCTTGTTGTATAGGTTGGATGGTGAAATATGGTCAGGAATTAGGCTTGTTTGAATGCTCTTGAGTGCACGCTTTTTATTGATCCAGGTAATACGGATTATAATGTCCTGGAAAGAAAGCAGCAGCCAGCAAATTCCAGTCCCTAGCTGTTCGCTTAAATTAGTGCAACGCCTAGTGACTAGTGGATGGTCACTCACCTAGACAGTATCTTGGACACACACCCGTGTGACACCCGCAGCTGCCGGCTGATGTCACACGGCCGCACCCCGCTGTGCGCCAGCTCCACGATCCTCTGCCGCACCACGTCGGGTAAGGGTCGTCCGTTCACGAACACTCCGCCCAGTTGGTTCACGCCTCCGTGACCTGAAAGAGAGATAGGTGTTAAAAGGTTCAAAGTCTAAGTCTTTTCTTTATTTGTATAGACTAATCGTTCGTTCGTTCGTTTCAGCCGAAAGACGTCCACTGCTGGACAAAGGCCTCCCCCAAGGATTTCCACAAAGACCTGTCCTGCGCCGCTTGCATCCAGGTACCTACCGCGACCTTCACCAGATCGTCGGTCCACCTAGTGGGAGGCCTGCCCACGCTACGTCTTCCAGCTCGTGGTCGCCACTCAAGAACTTTCCTGCCCCAGCGGCCATCAGCTCTTCGAGCTATGTACCCCGCCCACTGCCACTTGATTTTAGCGATTCTGCGGGCTATGTCAGTCACTCAGTATAGTCTAATAACACTTACAAATCGTCAAATATTTTTCTGTCTAATTCATAATCTTTTTACCCTACCCTACTCTAGCTCTTCGAGAGTTTCATTTGGCAAGTGCTGAGAAGAAGCGGTTGTTTGTTAGGTCAGGGATATCATCTTATTATATTTATCATCAGGGGCAGATGATTAAGTGACAGTTTGTTTAGGAAAATCAAGAGATAATCAGTCTGTTAGTCTCTATTGGATCAATACCCTCTCTAATTTACCAGGTGCAAATAAAGGACTTGGCCTACATTAGGCACAAGCAAGTACTGTTTTTCTACGAGTAGAAGGATCGGAGATAAAATCATCAGGTCATTAAGTCTATACTGCAGGATCATGACCCTTTAAATTACCAGATGCAAATGAAGGACTTACGCCCGTATTCACAAACATAACTATGAAGTCTCACAGTGCGCGTGAACGCACAGGTTCACACACGAACAAATCACAGAGCTATTCAACGCTGTGCGTTCGATTCGCTGCTTCACTTAAGCAAGCATCGTTAGTGTTACGGGTGTCAGAATACCATAGGAATAGGCAAGTATATTAGGCCAGTTATATTAAAGTTGTAACAATCGTATTCCACACAGTGCACTGAAATCTTCAGACGATTGTTTTGATTTCACGGTACCCAATACCCGGGCATTATTAATGAGCCGGCCATGACCGGAGCCGGTGACCCGGGCGAGCGCCGGATCAATGCGGTCCGGTCAATGCTTCTTGCTCAATCTGTGATCCGGTTTCTTGGCTTAGAGCAATAGAGCGATGTATTCGTATTTACAATAGGAATTTAACGCATTTGTAACATGCTTTTAATAGAAGACTAAGGCTGAGTTGCACCACCCAACTTTGACCGAAACTATGACGATAACCGGTACTTTTGTATGAAATTTGACAGATTTTTGACTTTTGTCAAAGTTAAAGTAAGATGGTGCAACCCAGCCTAAGTTTAATCGACTGACCACATAAAAATTCCATTGGGTAGTCGAGTTATCTAAAATTAGAAGGACGTAAGAATTTACTTAATTACTGAATATCATTAAAAATGAACTAGCAAACACAAATAAGGGCAGCTTGTAACCGAAGGTCTGTGAATTGAAAATTTTGATTTTAGATAGTCATAGTCATAGTCATTTATCGCTAGTGAATTCGCAAGTCCACTCGGTTATCCAGTTACTCGTACCTATATCTATTTAAATCAAAACTGACCATTACAATTTACTTTAGCACAACATTTTATAGCCGATCGCTAGTGAATTTGCAAGTCCACCCGGTTATCCGGTTATCTAAAATCAACACATCTTTACATAACTGCTTTATCTATTATATTAAATATCAAATTATATCCAAACGTATCTTTAATTGAAATTGAATTTGATTTCGCAAGTCCACCCGGTTTAACCGGTTATCTCTAAAATCAAAACACCTATACCTATTTGCTTTAACTATCAAATAATAACCAAGCGTATCTTTAAACTAATCGCCTGTGAATTCGCAAGTCCACCCGGTTATCCGGCTATCTAAAATCAACACATCTTTACATAACTGCGTTAATTATCAAATATCAAATTACTCGTATATCCAAACGTATCTTTAAACTAATCGTCTGTGAATTCGCAAGTCCACCCGGTTATCCGGTTATCTAGAATCAAAACAGGCGGCATCGACCGCGAGGGCGTGCCCGATCGATCGTCACGCCCGCTGCGCACCCCGTGCCCTTCGCAAGGAATCATCTTTGGATAAGATTTTAAGCACTGGAACGTATAGAAAATGCATTTTGTTGTTCATATGCCGGTCACACGTTTGTTAAAATGCATATAGACATAAGAGTAAACTTAGAATAATAAAAGCGCTTCGTATAAAGTGAGGCAAAAATCATAATATGGGATCCAATGTTACATCCGTTTCCACTAGTGTTTGATTGTATAAAAAAAAGTCAGTGGTCGTCTTGAACTTTAGAAGTGTCTCCATTAAAGCGTAAACTATAAACATTCCGACATTATTTGCAAATATTTAGTTGGATGTCTCTCTACTATGTAGAAAATGGACCACCCGTGATGATTTTTCAAAATCAAATCAAAATCAAAAATATTTAATTCAATTTAGACCAGTAGTGGCACTTATGAACGTCAAAATACAGAAAAAAGATAGCCCTTAAGGGACACTTCACATGTTTCGAAAAAAGCAGCAAAGGTTGACTTTGAACTTCAACCAAAAAGGTACTTAAAACTTTGACTCTACATCACTTCTACTGGCTAAATTAACTCTGTCATAGAACACATCTGACTCCACGAGTATTGTAATTAACAATAAAATGATTATAGCTAACAATAGCCAATTTTCCTGCCATGAATCATCCATTCAAAGATGACTAACGCCCAAAATCGGGTGAGCTTCTACGAAATACTGAACATCCGGCAATGTTGTTTAGAAACATGTTTTGACTTGTATAATGAATGTAATGTAAAGGTTTAAAACGCATATGTAGAGCAGTGGTTGAAGAACAACACTATCTATATCTATACTTATAATAAATCTGTAGAGAGGTCAATTCTGTACATGAAATATATTTTCAAAATAACTATCAGGGGGTGAATAGTGATCGATACTGATGCCAAAAATGCAATCAGTAAACTTTTTGTCTGTCTGTCTGTCTGTCTGTCTGTCCGTCTGTATGTTCCTTATAGAAACAAAAACTACTCGACGGATTTTAACGAAACTTGGTACAATTATTCTTCATACTCCTGGGCAGGTTATAGTACTTAGGAATTCCCACAGGAACAGGAATTAGCGGGAAAATCCTTTTGTATGAAAAATCTAAACCGCTTAAGTTAGACGCTTGAAATTTGGTATGTAGGTACCGTAGTAAACTTAAAGCTTAGTAACAACAAGGGATTCCCGAAATTCCCACGGAACCGGGAATTAGCGGGAAAATCTTTTTGTATGAAATATCTAAATCGCTTAAGTTAGACGCTTGAAATTTGGCATGCAGGTACCTTAGTAAACTTAAAGCTTAGTTACAACAGGATGTTGCAAAATTCCCACGAGAACGGGAGTTAGCGGAAAAAACATTTGTATGAAAAAATCTAAACCGCGTAAGATAGATGAAGGGGGTAAAACGGGATCCACGCGTACGAAGTCACGGGCGGCCGCTAGTCCTCAATAAAAGGTTTACAGCTCAAGATTTTGGGATGGGAAGTATTATGTATGAATTCCTTTCTTGTGCTTATATTCCTTCTTGAATTTTCCTCCGTTTGAAAAGGATATTCTAGTTCTAGACTAAAATAGACATTTATTTGATAAATAGATATTTCATTGTCTAACATAGTAATATCTATCTTAAATACAGAGTAAATTAAGGCGTAATAGAGCTGGTTTAGAATGTTTGGCGAGAAAACTCAATAATTTCAACACAACTTTTAATGAAGTAGTAGAAGAAGGTATTATGTCAAGAAATGATGTTAAAAATTCATTATTCCTAATCCTAATATTAAAAAAACCAAGATAATAAACGATAACTTCACTGTGAAATGCAATAAATAATTGAGTACCTATTGAGTATTGATATCGATACTGTATGTTCCATTAACAAACAGCACCTCAATCGACTCCACAACAAATCGTGTATCCACACCCCACCGCCAGAGGTTTCTATTTTCGTCTTTTTACAGAACAACCGGAATCACTAAACCTTTTTCGTAATTAACAATAACGACCATTTTATCCGGGTCCGGCCCTCCGGAACCCTCCAGGTGTCCGGAACCCTCTTGCTAATGAGAGTGAAATATGCCTCTTGGCTTTAATGAAAGGCATTCTTTTCCTATTTCGAAGGTTTGGGGTTTGTTGTTTGAGAAAGATTTCCGGAACTAAGAAGCTGTTGGAAAACGAGCTTTATTATTATTTGTGACTAAAAACTATGATAGATAGGATAAATAGACATATTTTCAGTATTAGTCTTCTTATATTATTTAGGAACCATTGGCCTTGATTAAAATCTCACACGGAGTTTCAGATGAGATCCAAAGCAAAATTTTTGCTCCATCAACGCGCAACGTCATGAATAAAAAAAATATCCTTGGACATTTTACACTACGCTTCTAGTCCCAAACTAAGCAGAGCTTGTACTATGGGTACTAGAGAACGGAATCTTACTACATGCCCTTAAATTTTGTATAGCAACAAAGATAGTACGGATACTGTATAATATGTCGGGAGTAAGGGACGCATCCTGCCCGCAGTATCTACATCTTGTTTTTTTTATGCATAGTAATAGGGCTTGCTCTTGATAACAATCTCATACGGAGGTGCACATGAATTGTTTTCAAGGTAGAGCCTCCTAACTTGTAAGCTTTGGGTTTGTCAGCAAAATACGGGAAAACTTCCATCGACAGGGGTTTTCATTCTTTGCCTGTATATTAAAAAGGATCAGGAGGAAGGTACGAATAGAGGATACGTAGACCATATTGACTGTGGTATCTCGAGAGTTTCTTGAGGTTTAAAAAAATTACTAGCCGAAAAAAAAAGATATACGCACTATAATTCTGTTGTAAGTCAGACGAAGCACCCTGTACAAAGCGCCCACTGAAAATCAGTATCTTAACAGATAATAATCTGTCAAGATG